CAATTAGAGACTAAAGATTAAGGTACGTCGAATATAAGGAGGGGTGTAGGAAGTTGGGTAAGAAGTTACTTTCGTTGTGAATAGGTTCCTATTAAAGAACTGCTTATGTTTGGTTTTTAGACGCAAGTGTGGAGCCACTTACAAAAGAAGTGAGACTCGACTGGTCGGCTCGGTTATGGTTCTAATCATCAACTTAGTCAGATGTACATTCGGAGTTATGCAGTCACTCATGTTTTTTCATGGACAGTCGAACTTCACTGACTTAGGACTGACGTCGCTCTTATAATTATTCATTTATGACTGGGGCACACACACATGTACTCGCATTCTTAGTTGTACAAGCATTTATATTACTAGGATCAGTAATTGGCCAAATAATTATGCCAATTTTTATTCCTTTCAATTTTGTTGTTTCGACCGTGATGCACTGGGTATTCATCGTACTCTGTCTATTGCCTTCTCTATTCCTTATTACTCAGGTATGTCCTTGCATTAACTTTCCATTATTACTCTTTTCCTTTCATTTCAGTGACACGTGCTATTTGTCCTCTTCACATTGATTGTATTGATGTTGAGTGATCATTTATTCTTTGAATTGCTCAACATCTGGCTCAACCTATATGAGTTATTTTTTATCCTTCACACAGATTCGATACCTTGCAATGTCCCTCAAATTTTGATAAATCGAGAGCCGCTTGCTAACCACCTATTCGACATCGAGCTTTACGGTGATTGTGATGTGATTGTTCGACATCTCTGTGCTCTCCTCGGCTGGTCGCCGCCAAATAAGCTGGGCATTGAGAAACCATCTTCAAATGTCCTTCCATCACTTACTGATACTAGTATTTCAACATCTGCTTGTCTCTATTCTGAGGTGCCATTGATAGATGTCGCACGAATTGCTGAGTCTGAAAATGTCCCAAGTACTCGAGCGCAGGAGCCTTTGATTGAAACCTTCAGTACCACACCACACGCCAAAACTCGTCCTTATTCCCACTTTAAACACAAGGGACAACTAAGTAACGCAAGCATGACTGGAACTCCCTCGTCTGGTTTTACTCATTTTTCATCATATTCTTCTGATGCTGCATATATTGCGAACAGGTCATCTGACCGAACAGATTTAGTTTCTCCTGTAATTCAAACAAGTGGCCATGTAGCAGATTATGCTTCGGCAAAAGGTGAAAGGGCTGCCCTTGAATCCGGTGATCACAGTGAGATTGAGGAGGATGGGCCCCACACCGCGTGGTCTGTTGCAGATTTCCTTCCTAGTATGCATTCGATCATTGATAGCATTTTTTAACTTTGAAGTATTTAATTATTTTTCATATGGTCCGATACATATTC